ATTAGGGCTGAAAAATCATCCGACATGACTCGTATTGCGTCAATGGCAATATCGATCAATAGTGAGACACCTGCTTTGTATTCTGTTGGTTCTTTTGTCCTACCCATGCTCACTTGGTTCAGTGTAATAGTCAGGATAATTCATGCGTGATATCACTTTGTGTCATTCCTTTAAGCAGACCACGGGTCCATGCACGGAATACACGAGCAGTACTTAACAGTGGGTTGTTCGCAATAGCAATTAGGTATGCCCTCTGTGCCGACTGAACTGCTTCAAAGAAAAATATGTTTACACTAAAGAGTCAGATTTGGATGAACCGATGTCGCTCACAGAAGCTTTCCGTCGGAACGATCTTCTTGAATGAGGGTTGTCTGTTGTCTATGCGGCTTTTTACCTGGCTTCCCGATTATCACTGTACTTACAATGCCAGAATACTGAAGCAGCCACCATGGAGTTGGTTGACTGTGGGTAAATTAAACGTGAGCAGACGGAGATCGGGCTACGAGGATAGGATCAAGGTGTGCTTGTCCTCACATAGCATTGAGAGCAGAAAAGAGGATGAAGAGGGAACGCAGCACCTATGGTGTCATGAGCTTATCAAGATTGCCATCAATCGCATGAACGGACAGCAATTAATGCTTAAAGAGCAGAAAAGCGTAGCGTGTGAACAGGAACAGCAGACTGGTGCCAACTCATCGCTACTTAGACCTCAAAATGATACAATTGGCAGTGTGGGTATCAACTGAGTTAAACTGATACTTCAACACACGTATAAAGGAGACCGACGCTGAGGAAATATCGCGTCAGCTACCAGTTGTCTTCTAGGTTCAACGACAGAAGCATGTACTCATGATATCAAATGCAGCAAGTGTCATGTCATTTTGTTGCAGCAATTGAAGCATGCTTAGGTGATGGGACCTGCATTCGTTCGTACTCACAATGAGTACAATGAGATACATCGGATTTGACGGCACCCTTGCCACCATTTTACAAAGGCTAGCCATTCGATCCCATCCCTTCGAACACCGGCTTCAGCAGACAGGTATTATTCGCCACGCAGTATTGGGCACGTATTCATCACATAACGTTAGTTGCGACGGGCGATTTCATGGTGGAATGCCCTACTGTAAGACACCACTCTGTTTACGTTTGGCGTTTTTGTGCTACCAACCTTAACAGTAATGTGCTGGTGGTAGATTCTGACCGCCTATTAAGTAATCGCTCACAGCATTTCCTCATTGTGTACGTCAAATCGGTAAACTCCAAAACAAAGAAAATTGTCACATGGATTCTCCCACTATGAGTGGTATGCGTGTTGTAAGGGCGTCAACAACTGTTTCCCTTTTGCAAACCACCCGGTCCAAACTCGTCTCATGTACTTAACGTGTTTGTGTTTGGGTGGTGTGGCTGAGTCCTCACACTTCATGTTGTCGGCTAGAACGATGTCTGGTAAGCCGCGTCTTATATGAACGTACGAGGAGAGACAGAAAAGCGGGTTGCCAATATGGATGTTCGTACTTGGCACGTGTTGTGCGCATGTATTCCCACAGTGTTGCTTAACAGGTTGATAGATTCATGTATAATTTCAGTTCTCGTATATGCCATCATACAATCGGCCGTTCAACCTCTTCGTTTCTCCGGTGGTACTGGTGTATCTCACTAGTAGGCAACACAGTAGGTAATCTGCGTGTTTGGTTGCGTTGCTCATTTTCACTTGTCCGATCTTTGTTTGTGAGTGGCGAGGTGCCACTTATACAATTGTTTCAGCTGGACCAAACTGAATGACTGGTAGGCACAAACTATCATTTTCGCTTGTAATATGTCGCAGTCGACTGCACTCCGTGACAATATGACGAGTTATCTGATCCCTGAGTTGAGTATTTTAGCTTTTGATGTTTTCTCAACAGGTTTCACTCAATATCAGTGCATAACTCGGAGAAACTGCAGAAATCATTTTGTCTGGCATGGTAACAAAACGTAGATCGTCATAGTTTTCATCTGCCAGAAAAACCCGGCATGCTCAGGCACGACCCTGGTTACACACACTACCACGATTACTGGTTCCAGGACATTGTTAACAGCTGTTGGGGTGAGGAGGTGCGCAGCATATGTCATAAAGGCAGACCGATTACGAAACCAGCTATGGTCCAATCACCCCTGTGCTCCACCAGTGTGTATGTTCGCCTCCTTTTATCTTGGCCATACGCGTGCTAACAGCGTGTGGACCGATTCGGGGTTAATTGCAGTTTTCACCCAGCATAGCCCCGGTTTTGTCTCTTCGGGTTCACACTAAACAGTAGTGTGAGAGCGAAGTTGGGGTTTCCCCATCGGAAGTCGTCTATCTTCCCCTTGTAGGTGCCAACGTCCAATAACTGTCTGCAATTGCAGCAACCTGCACATACGAAAACGGATGCCACTAATCGTGTGGGGGCTAATCGAAACCCAATAGTGCTTACGTAATGAAAGCCTACTCCTGACTACAAATGCGTACCTGGACGACTACCACCAGGCGCGGAGTACACGAAAGTGGCAACAAGAAAAATATGGGACAGTGTCATCCCAGAGATCTGTGCTTCTGGAAACCAAGACCAATCCATTTCTGCGTAGGTGTATCCTAATACAAAGAAGGGTGTCGTTAAAAGCTGTGTATTGCTGTGGTCTTCGGTCACTGTCAGTTGCTCATTGTCGAGGAGCCCTCCAAGAATCAAAACGAAGTCTGGACAACGAACAACATCTGTTGTTTAGAAGGTAAAGTATCCTTTATATGATGCTAAAATACTACACTTAGATGCCTGTCGTTTAGCGATCGGTCGAGCTTAACGAGTTTGGGCCAACAGTTTGAAAGCTGGTCGATCGCAGCAGAGGCAAGCTGAAGGATAGCATGCCATTGATTTGGATCGACATTGAAAGAAGCTGGAATGCTGACCAAGAATGTAACAGGAAGAAGATTTGTTCTGCATCTGTGAGTGATTCTAATTGACTCGGGATATAAAATGAGTTTGCGTTCTATGAATAATAAATTTCTGTTCGAGGCCCAGACTTTGACTTTTGATGCACGGAGGGCCACTTGACACTTGACACTGTACATAGATGGGTAGTGCTATGTGGTGACGACACGTTTACATTGGTTGCTTCCAAATTTCTGCGTTCCCCACCGACTGTTTATGTTCATTGGTCAGTACTTCCTGCTCTCTTCAATCTAATTTGGCTCTGTCTGCGTTGTTCTCTTCGAGTCACGCTTATAAGTGTCAGCTCTCTTTTGTCTATCTGACCAGCGTAAACGCTTCTTATGCTCGCGGCTGTTTCAGCCACTCCGCTTCGCCTTTGATCTCCACAACGCTGTGTTTTGTTCCTCCGACGCTGGGCCAATCCTTTTTCCTCTCTATGCCTCATGCACGCTTGAGCACTCTGTGTTGACAGTCACTGATAGATTGCTGGCTTGCCTACAACCCGCTGGTTAGCTTCGCTGAATCGATCAGCTGTTACTGCACTCATAAATAGAAGATTTTAACGTAGTTGTGTTGAGGGTCAATCACGGCAGTTTGGGAGGCAGATAACTTATCAACAACCTGGAGAAGCTCCAGGCGGCTGTCTCTACCAGTTGGTGTTAGTTGGTGGTGCGCATCTCACAGCTCCATCAGGAACCGAACCAGCTGACTTGACAGTTGTTACCACATGTGCGCCACACCGTTGTCTGCAAACAACCGCCAAATGAACGAGCCGGTACCTTCACCCTACTACTGTCCTAAAGTTTGTTGGTGTTTCTATTGAGCCTTATCAAGCAGCCAAAGTTTCGCACCAGGAACCCACTGTGCGGTTCGTAAATAACTCCTGCCATCCATCTTGAAGCAAGTGCTACATGGCGTGTCATAAAAGCAACGGGGAATTACGTTGCACTACAGGATGGACTCGATAGGGTATAAGATTAGACTACCCAAATATTGCTTCAGCTTCACGCAGCAGTTTATAAACACTGAACGTATGCTACCAGTGTGCTTATGGACACGGACGGAAAGATCAGCTTGAGTAGCGCGCCTTCGTTGAATGCAATCTAGAGGTGATTGTACTGGAAATTTTGACTATTCATATCCGGCAGAGAATGGATCAAGAAAGCTAACCATCATGTTGGTTTATTGCGGAAGCATTCAACCGGATTGCTACGTCCATGGTCTCGCAGCTGCTCCACGCCTGCACTGGGCTCCGTTTGGAATATGTCATCTACACTTCGCAGTCAACGTAACGACATGATCTATGGGCGTTCGAGATTCTAAAACGGAGGGCAACAAAGAATATAAAGCGGTGATCTACTGCGGCAATTGTTGGTACCAGCAACGTGATCTGATAATGCCTTGGCGGATCCACCTGCAACCCAACCACAATACTACACTGAGTGGTCATCAGTTAAAACTGGCTACACAGTAGCTCCGATTGATACATTGCTGCAATTCCTTCTCTTTTTGTGTAGCAACTGTGGGACAGTCTCACGACATAAGCCAGTTTCTATCCTTAACTAACAGATATCCAGAAGACGTCCTGACGATTCACTAGCACGTTCATATTACGTGCCAAAACCCTTTCGGATCATGCGTCAACATAAGAAAAGAGTCCGTGTGTCTGCTTGAATTTATTGTTGAGTCCACTACGTTTGTTTTATTTTGCGGACGCACTTCCATCCCGTGGGAGGTGTCAAGTGCCAATTTCATTTAGCCGGGGTGAACCAGTTCTATTAAGGTTATGTCAATTGCAAGCAACGCTTTCATCATAATTTTGATATCACAAGCCTGTGCGTATGGTAATTTGAGCTGGTTAATTTCAAGCCATGGGATGGTAGATCTCAGTCTCGCGATTTCACAATGTCGTCTTGAATCAAGCGGTGTGAATGAACTAACTTGAAAATGCATCCAATGGGTGACTACCTGAATCATTTTGAGTCCACATGCCTCAGTGAAATAGCAAATGAACGTGTGTAAAATTGTCACAGTTAAGTGTACACAACTCACATCGTCCTGTTCCGGAATCGCTGCGCACTGGTTGCTGCAAAACAACGTAATAATTATTACGGACATTCACATCCGAATCGATGCAGTGCAGTAGATTTCAAACTTTCCCAAGGCATTATTTGTGTTTAGACTGTAAACAGTTAGCTTTCGTTCTACGCCTGATCAACGCGATCTATGCATGTAGGGTAGATCCACTCAACAAAAGGTGCCTGATTGTTCGCATTTAGAACCGTACCTGATTCCTGCCGTGGGATGCCGGCGGTTGTATGGGTGACGCAGCGCCACCTTTGCGTCTGCCCGTAGGCTTGCGTGGCTTGGTGTGTACTCTGTCAGCCTGCGGATCCGGCTTCGCTGCATATCTTTCTTTTGAAATTTCGGTGGAAATGGGCAGAGAAGGGCTGTGCGTGCAAAGCAACTATAGTATCATTAGTGAGCATTTGCGCGCGGAAAGTAGCAGTAATCTAGCTACATGCTCTTAGGTACTTCCTACCTGAGACGTGATTACATGCCAATTCCAAATGAGGCCTATCCAACCGAACAGGCATATATTCGGCACTGACAGACCACTGTCGACGTACCAAAAGCAGACTTCAGTTCAAAATGCAACAGATGGGCAGAACTAAAACCTACGTGCATTTAGCAATCTAGAAGCCATTTGTGAAACTTGTTATGTTGATACTTGACAAATATGGTAAGATGGCGTTAAGATATGACCCAGTAGGAAGAAACAAAATTTCAAATTTTGGTCGCTTAAAAGAATCGGAAAACGTTCTTTGATAAAATGCTATGTTGCGGATGCAGACGAAGATTTGGAACCTAGGAAGAAAGACGCATGCGAAATGATGTTTGTTATCAATAAATTTAGTGATAGAATTTCTCGATAAGCAATGCACCTTATCAATTACGATCAGTGTTATGGGAGACAGTAAAGGTCTCTGGCCAGGTGGACGTCACCCAGGTGACTGGCATCTGCTGCAATGCAAGCCGCGGTCTCAGCCATGGTTCTGCAATTCGACAAGTACTAAGGCATGATAAGTTGCCTTGTAAACTACTGCGAGCTTAGAAATCAGTGACTTTGCGCAAAAAACGTCTTAACGTCAGACGGTAGAAAATGTTTTAGTACCAAGTATCAAGTAGCCCATATTGCCTAGTTTATAAAAAATATCGGAACTTTTCATTCGAGTAGCTGGCATATATGTGGCCTCTCACACTTGCTCGACTGCTGCTGCAAAGGATGAGTTTCGTAGGAGAGTGGTCAACTGTAAAGACCGAACCGGTTCGACTTCAACTTGTGGTTCCTTCTCCGCCATGGGAACAAAAAGTGGGAAATCTGCTGGTCTTGGCCGAATAAGCTTCCAGTTTGGAGTCGGTTTTTTCGGTGCCGGTTCTATCAGTGGTATGGACCGCCATGTGGACAGCATAATCGGATGTGAATAAGGAATGTCAAACCCCATTGCTTTCAGCCGCTCGTTGCGAGATACCTGTGAAAAATGAAAACAGAGGAGAGAAAATCCAATAAGTAACCTTCGGGGAACTTCAGCAGAAAGCAAGAATTGCCTCTTTGTTAGCCATTCATTTTGACACCGATTACCTGCTGACATATGAAGAATTCTACTTTTTGAGGGTGTTGTGGTATTAGAAAGAATTGCACAGTAGTTGTGTTGTCAAGATCGAAACACCGCCTCAAAAAGTACGTTCCTACGGCTTCTCTCTCATACATCATACTATTAACACCTGCTCCTCTACCGTTATATTGAAAAGATCAGAAAGTCACCGATGATTCTACGGCTTCACAACTGCGGTGTGAATGGTGACAGCCGCTTCTCAATCTCTCTGTCAATGTGAACGAAAACGACAACAAGGCAGCAATGCCTTTGTAGGAATCACAAGTGGCTGCGTATTGCCATTCACTGCCCTGCCCACATACTTCCGGATGTAGAGTAATTCTGAAGAAACAAGGGATGAATTTGAATGGACTGGAGGGTAAGCCACTTTAATTCTATCCGACGCGCTCAGGCCCCACAGTATACTCACTTGGAGCACATTAGAACTGGGTCCAATTAAATGCACACTTGCACGTGTTTATTTGTTATTCTCCTTGTCCCCAGCTACACGGATCCGTCAGTAAGTTGGTGTAGGCTATGTTCGCCTCCTCATGCTAGAGTGCACTTCATAATTCGCAACTTTCGAGTGGCAGTGGTTCTTAGTCCTGATGAACGACAATTCCTTGTTCATGCGTTGACCTATATCCCCACTGGTGATACTAAGGTTGAAAGTGGAAGGCCTACTCTCGAAGTGGCCGTGAAGGCTATGAAATCTCATTGTGACCCACATCTAAAAAGTTCTTACTTGGACCCGGAAGTTTGATTACAGAACCATCAACCGAGCTGATTAACCTATGACGCTGGCTAGCCGAACAATCTCCTCGTGGTACCAGCTGGGTGGTTGGGGTGTAACCCGTTTCAGCAAATAGTTCGGCGGCAGTGTTCCAGGACATGGTGGGTTTTCGCCTGGCAAGCGTTCTCCCTATAAAAAGCCACAAATGTTCGTTTATCAACACTGTGACGTGGCGAATGTGACTCGCCACAAACTAAAGTCCCTACCCCGTGGATATCTGGATAATTACATCCAGTCCACAGATATCAATGGTCTATTCCCACATAGCGGACACTGTCAGTCACAAATACAACGGCACACTCACAAACACAAGCCACAAAGCTACACCTTTGCACAGTTACACACCCATCCATGCGCACATTTACTGTTATGACAAGCACGTTGCATTCTTGCAGATTTTTGTTCACACTGTTATCATAACATGCTCATGCCTCGCGTTGCCGAGAATAAGAAGCTTTTTATTTATTTACTAGCGGTTGGTTCCGCTGCAAACAAGGATGTACTAATATCTGAAGAAGCACTCAAATAAAAAGGTTTTAGCATGGCTAAACAAGTGACATTCGTCCAAACTCCAAGTGTCTACCGAACTTCAAAAAATCCCAATCGGTGGGTAGCGACAGCCCTGAGTATTTGATGCGAAGATTGTTGTTCGACAGTTAAACCGCTGACTGATTTTCTGCTACTTACGCTAATTTCTACTTGATGATCTAATCCATTTCCAACGTTTGTTTCAATGGTGCAGAAGGTTCATTTGGTGTGCGTCTTCGCTGCGCTTCATTGCATTTATCCAACGATGGCGGAAAAACCTTAAGATACAATATGAGCTCAGTTGATGGGCTCGGAGCTAATTTGCACCTGGACTGTGGAAAGAGTGATGGACTGTAGCGCCTTACTCGTTGAGGCTTATCAACGCTCCTGACCGCGGCAGGGAAGTTCCTTTGCTTTGGATGTAAAAGGTAAGTAACGGCGGAAGTTTCTGTTTAGTGAACCGCTGCCAATGTTAATGATAAGTGCGCCAATGATTGATGGTAACCTAAAAAGCATACATGATGCATCTCGATGGCTAGCTTCGGGAACTAACGGCCGGTGACAAAAAGTAAGCCCTTATGTACGAAAGCCGAGAAATCGTCTATCTTAGACCTTGTATTTGCTAAGTGACTCGATTTTGTTGGTGATATTACTTACGGACCTCCACTGCGTTCCAGTGATCATGTTGGTTTGCTCTTCAGTTGTACTCTGTCTACACGCTACCGGAGTACTGTTGAGTCTCGTCCGAACATATGGCACGCAGACTATCAATCCATGAGAGCCAAGGCATCGGGTTTGCATGGTGAGATCTCAGACGACCATACTGTCGAGGTTGCCTGGGATAAATATAAGTCCTACCTCAAGTGGTCTCTACTCCCTTCATCCCAGTCATAAGGAGAAAGGAGGCCCGAGCACAGCCGCCCTGGATAGATCCCACTGGCAGGCATCTGCTCACAAAGAGGTCTAGATGTTGGCGGACTTACCGAGATGCTCCGTCCACCGATACTTATGACAGCTACCATAAGGCTGGAAATAGGTGTAAGCAACACCTAAGGGATGCTCGGCTCAATTTCGAGAAAGCGTTAGCGGACGAAGCTTCAGAAAATCCAAAAAGATTCTTCGCTTATGTCAAAAGGTGCTGCGGTTCGAACATGTCAATTCCAGTATTGATGCTTGATGACGGTACTCATGTGCAAACGGACTATGACAAGGCCTGCGTACTTAGTTGGCAATATGCGACAGCGTTTGTAAGGGAAACCACTTTGACAGGCGTTGAGCTGGTTTGCAGGACCCCAGAGGGTTCAGAATTATCTGAATTTATTGTAGCGGAGACGGAAGTTCGTAGGCTGTTACAAGGGCTGAACCCTTCTAAGGCCTCTGGGCCTGATTTAATTCACCAGAAACTGTTGCATGAGCCGGCTGCGGAACTAAGTGGACCACTCGCTATTGTGTTTCAGAAATCGCTTGACAGCTGTGCATTGCCTTCCGAATGGAAGGAAGCTGTCATCTGTCCCATCTTCAAAAATGGGGACAGGGGTCTGCCTGCAAATTACAGGTCAGTTAGTCTGACTAGTGTAGTAGTCAAACTCCTCGAGAAACTGGTGAGACATTCATTGGAGTCATCTGAGTAGATTTAACCTACTTAGCAATGTGCAACACGGATTCCGGAAGGGATTTTCGTGTCTGCCGAATCTACTGGTGGCTCGCGAAAGTTGGGCGGATGCAGTGGATAACGGCCACGCGCTGGACGTGCTTTTCGTCGACTTTTCGAAGGCATTTGACAAGGTACCCCATTTGAGGCTCGCGCAAAAGCTGTCCTCCTACGGAGTATCTGCCCGCGCCCTTCATTGGATGACTGCCTTCTTGGAGGGTAGAGAACAGTGTGTACGGGTAGGCCGGGGCCTCTCGTTTAGGCAGTCTGTCCTCAGTGGCGTGCCGCAGGGCTCGGTCCTTGGACCGATGCTGTTCTCTATCTATGTAAATGACCTACCCGTGGAGCTTGAGATACCATCGCTGCTATTTGCTGATGACCTGAAGCTGTGGAACATTGTCGATGTTCCTGGGGGTTCCGAAGCTATTCAGCGAGCATTGGATAAACCTTGAAACTGGTCTACTTTATGGTTACTGCCCATAAATCAGGCAAAGTGCTCCGTTCTTCGAATTGGAGGAGGTTGTCCTCCTGTGAAGTACTTGGTCGGTGGGGTCGCACTCCCCCGTGTATCTAGCCAGGTTGACCTAGGCGTCGTACACTCTTCGGCTTTACACTCCGGCGACAACTGAAAGAAGGCCGCAAGTAGAGGCTTCCGCATGTTGTGGTTAATACGACTTTCTCTCGGAGTCTTGACGGGCGGCATCTTTACGAGACTGTGCTCGGCTTTCGTTCGGCCTCATCTGGAATACTGCGTCCAGGCTTGTCCGCCCTGCCTGGTCCGAGAAAAAATGGAGCTAGAGAGGGTCTTATGAGTGGGTACTAGGTTAGTCGAGGGATTACAAGGACGGACGTACCCCGAGCGTCTACTTAGTTTGGGAATGTATTCAATGCACTACCGAGGGCTTAGAGGAGATATAATCCTAACCTATCGTATCCTAACTGGGAAGGTTGGTCCAGATTTATCTTGGCTATTTAGTCCCGCTAGATTGTCTGTTCTACGCGGTCATTCCTTGAAGCTGGACAAACCGCGGTCCGATCGGATTAGGGCAGAGATCCGGCTGTCACGCCGAGTTATCGACCGCTGGAACATGCTTCCGGAAAGTGTTATCAGTGAATCTACGGTTAAGGGGTTTGAGCGGCAACTTGACGCTCTTGAGTGGCAACACGAAACCTTTCCATTTTCCTGAGTAACTCGTATCCTCGTACTTCGATTTTCTTTTCTCTACTTTTCTTCACGCCTTGGTATTATGTTCTTATTTCGAGTGCACTTCCTTATCCTGTATCTTTAATTTTTCTTCCTATCTTTTGCTTACTTCACGTGACTGCCACAGCAGGGACTGCTAGGGCAGGAAACGTGGGCATTAACTGGTTGGCCAGGGTGCGATACGGGTGTTCCGTTTTAGATCCATCAATAACTGAGCACTTCATCAATTCCTGGCTCAACGATCCACTCAAGATGGAACACTCACGGGATTCTCCTATCGTTCCAGTCCCATCTGAACTGAACTGAACTGAACTGAACTGAAACCAAAATTTGGATGACAAAGGAATGCAATAAGTTGCCGATCACATCCAGAAGAGCGGTTAAATGCGTTTGCACACCAGAGATTATAAAAGCAGTTATATGCCTGCTTTGCAGTTGCTTGGTTTGTGTAACACTACCCAAACAAATGTGCGAACTGGAGTATTTACTGACTTCGAAACAACTCCCCTCCCCCACCAGCAGAGCCAGTGGAATCGGTATCAAAGCTTAACGTCGAGGTGATGAAGACAGAACTAACACGACGCAGTTCACTTATCGTTCAAGGTACGATCATTTGCTCATACGGATGCAACAAGTGGCTTTGATACTAGATGTTATTGGCCACTTCTATGCTACACAGGCTAAGTAGCCTTGCTTGATGTTGCACATCAAGCATTCCCCTACCTAGTCCGGACTGAATAACGAATGAATAACCACCTAACACCCGCGACCTGAAAACAAGGGAATCTATAAAAGACGAACCCGTAACACCGGAAGTAATAATATTTTATTGAAACAACAACGTTTGTAAAGGTAGGTCACCTCCGCAATAGGAAAAAAAATGAGGTCAAGCGCAACGAGTTCCTAAATTCAGTGTAATTGCAACACACATGTTACGGACCCTATCGTAACTAAAGTGACTAATGAAAGTGCTTTATCGTTCATCATTGGCAGCTCACTCATGCTGCAGATTAGCTGTAATCCCCGCCAACTAATTTTAACCTGCATGGCTAAGTACTTGCTACCTGTTAGGTAGAATGACGTTTCTGTCAGCAAATCTAGAAGCCATAGTTGGTGCAGTGACGCAAAATGATACGCTTAAAACGTACCTCGTTTATGGCATCCGGATCCCGTTCACTTGATTGTTCATGTAAATTTTCGTAAGATACAAACATCATGACCTTCTGCGTGCGTGATACGGCTTCATTCGTCGTCCATGACTTTGCTATGGATGATATATTGGGTAACACGCATAACCCACACATTACTTGCTTCTGCTTTCTCCTTTCCATCGCTTTTGATCTTTTCGACATCTACAAGGGAAAGCCTGTTAATTGTGCTTTGCCAGTCGTACTTTTCTTGGCTTTCAGATTATCCTTGACGCTGCGCTTTGCATCTTTCATTTTGATTTTTCCTTCGGGTTGTTCAGGGGTTAACTCATTGCTCTGGTTCGCCTTCGAACCTGAATCTTCAGGTCTTTCCCACGCCGGTATGTGACTTTGTAGATAGTGCCATAGAGAATCAGGCCAACGCTTGCTACGCACCCAGGTGGAAAGATTAGCGAATAATGAGATATAGACGCTGCTTACCGAACTGTTATTGACTGCTTCAGCCATCCAGTTAAGCACTGGATAGCACTGAAATCTCTCAATCCTGAGTGATCCCAAGCGCCTCCACAACTGCTCGGAATGAAATGCGTGATTGTGGTCTAAGTGATCGCATACCACAGTGAAGCTATCTTCAGTAGAGCCTTGGTTAGCAGCATGGGCCACAACTCGTATGGCTGTCTACTTCGTGGGAGAAGTATAGAGTGGTCGTTTCCGAATGGGATCACATCATCAACAAGGAGCTTTCGCCAACAGCCCTTTATGGGATAGCAGGTTTGGTAATGCACCTAACTAACTTACCATCCAGTGCAATTTCACAACGTATTTGCCAAATGGGTTATACTGAGGTGTGTTCGGTTCTTTCCCAATCTTACTAATAGCATATATATGCTCCCAGGGACGCCAACGATACATCCAGTCTTGAGACGGAACAGTGGATGAATTTGGGCCTGTCATGCTCTGTCTGCCAGCCATCCAGAGGTTTTGTACTTCACATATTATCCATCGCATGGCCTCAGAGTGTGCAAAAGTATTATTCATAACAAAAACGTAAGGGCATAAATAATGAGCGTTAAAAGAATCATCCCCTGTTCACTCGGCGTAGAGACAATTCGGGACGTTTGATGAACACAATTTAGAATCCCCTAGCCTTACTTCACATAGTAGAAAACACCTGTTCATCTGCTGCAGATAGCGTGTCAGCAATCGATGTGTGACAGGGCTCTATCTGTATGATCTGTTTGAACGCGACACTGTAATAGGAAACACCATCGGATAACACTGCTGTCGAAATCCTTCTTGCGAGTGTGGGAAACGACCAAGCCATCAATTAGTTTATGTTTGACTTCATTCCTATGCAACCAATCTTGTCCGAATTTCACTTTCTGATGTACGAATTGAATTGGTATACAAAGTAATTGCCGTTTGCTTAAGGGTATCAGCTTCTATGTGCATAGTTACCTTGCACTTGCAACAACTGCCAATGCCCATACGTTGTGAATCCCCCTGGCCCAAGCTCTATGCGTTCAGCCCGTCACAGTTAGGGTAAAGTCAATATGCACAGTAGGCTTTGGCACAAGCAGGCTATACCATCCCTTTATCTCTTGTAAAAATACATGTAATAAAAATTTTCAGAGTAGCAACATCAGAGGTTCGTTATGTGCTTCAGAAATTCATCTAGTTCACATTATCTCTCTCAAGGACACATTTCATCTCCAATGATCTACCTACCTCGCAAGCGAACAAATGTTCGTTTAATTGGTATAGATCCACTCGATGCACCGTCTCAAGATCGTACACGACAGGAGTCTGCGCAGATGGCTGATGTTAAAGCCTGCCGATTGCTTACCCTCTCTGTAATAAATTCATGCGGCCTTTTGGTGTAGGCGACATTCAGCGTCGGTGGCAATGCAACCGATCCCTCAGGATCAAAGAAAAATACTGCCGACTACTCCATTCATGTAAAAGTAATGAGATTATATATGAAGGACTCACCGCAGTTTGTTTTGATCTTTCCTTTCCGTTTTGTACATCATCCTCACCGAAGATAAATTAACACGAGGTATACTCACCCACTTTTCCGCATTGATATCCTGGTCGGACCATTCTGGCCAAATTGGTGGCTTATTCTCTGCCGCTACGTTAGTTGCATTCAACCTAAGTGGAAGCCGTTCAAACAACTAATAGTTCTGCGGTTAGGTCTACTCTGCAGTTAAGTAATAAGCATTGACCAAATGGAGATAGAAACGGATAATGTGTTCCTTACACAAGCTTAAAAGTAGCGTAATCATGCGCTTCCTCCATCTTACCGGGGAACAGTACAATCGTTTTAGGTGCAGACACAATGATTCCTTCCCCAACAGAGAACAAGTATACCATTTTAACGGAGCGAGGTATGTTCAGAATATTATGACATGTGACACCTTGAGAGGTTGCGATGTCGGAAGTTTTGCTGAATTCCACGGAAACGTCACGAACGAAATTCAAGTGGGTCGATCCATTGTTTACAGGGCAGCCTTTCTACTCCCATCCGGAAGTGGAAGATCTGTTGACAGCCCCAAAATCCAATGGTCATCAATGACCGATCGAAAAGCACAACCGGCCAACATTGGACAATAACAATGCCTCAATGTAATTTAATAGTTTGGGGTAGGGGCACAGTTGTGTAACAGTGGTCACTTAATCCTAGAGCAAGAATAAAGACGGAATGTCATTGGAACTCCCTAACGGCACATGCATAAGTGTTTAGAACTAAATGCATTCAACTGTTAGCCGATGGGTACCAGATGGCTGTTTGTCGCTCACCAGTGATTCGAACGAAAGATTAGCACCGACCGAAAGATGAGATTAAACCAAGACAAGACTTTTTGAGGGTGTACGACTTCCGCATCGATTTAAGGCTTCTACTCAATTCGCTCGAACAGTTCTTGTTTCCATCTGTGCTGCATTGGTTTGCCGTTGTTCCCCAAGTAAAAAACAAAGTTCTTCCTTACAGTTGTAAACTTCTATGTCATTCACATTAGAAGCAGTCGTCCGATATTTTATATATATATATATATATATATATATATACATATATATATATATATATATATATATATATATATATATGGTGGGCCGTGCCCCATGCTGAGGCTGAAGTTGCATTCTTGATGCTTCTTCACCGCATTTGAGCCAAACCCACTTACATTTAAACCAGGTCTTTATAAACTGGCTAAATTTCATTCCTGTTTATTTGGTTTGTTCTGCCTACATGAATAACCTTCTATTAACTGGCCACGTTGCTTACACTAATTGCGCTTATCTTCGGTAACTTTGTTGGGTTTGTAGCATTTTAAGTAACTTGTGGACATTTCTTACTTATCACGGATTTGTTGCTAGCCAAATTACTTCAAATGGTAATTTAGCGAATAGTTATGCCACCGCATCTATATGCATTGTTGGCGTTGTGTTATATTATCTTGTCGTTTCAAGTGATTGACTGTGGCTTGATATCCCCCGTGTGACTGCGGTTGATGTGCATGTTGACAAGGTGCCTACCAGCCTATTAAACACTACCTCGTTCATACTGGCTCCAGGAGACTGTTAGTCGTTGCTGGAGGGGACGGGATGCACGGTCCTTGTGGCCGTGCTATGCTCGAGGTGTGGTTCCAAGCACTCAGTGTGGAGCGGATTACCGTCCAGCCAGCGGCTTGTGTGCGCTTGATTCCCCAAATACAGCGTACTTGTGTTTGCCTGTAGAGGAGTGTGAGCCGGCTCAGTTGATAAAATGTGGCTCCCATCCACATGCCTCCCGGTCTTATTCCTTGTGCTTTCCACTGGATACGGGGTGTGTGGTTGGAGATGTGGAAGTTGCAGCGTAAGCCATTTACGGTCCCTCTGTAAACGCCGGCGTCCTGTGGCTGGCCACAATGACAGGCAAAACCGAAACCGGATGCCGCCAACCAAATATGGTGGGCCCCATCCGGTCTCGGATTTGCCTGTCAATGTGGCAAGCCACAGGACGCCTGCGTTTACAGAGGGACCATAAATGGTTTGCGCTGCAGCACCCACAGCTCCAACCACACACCCCCATCTCCAGTGTAAACCCGAAGGAAAAAGACCGGGAGGCATGTGGAAGAGAGCCAAGTTTCATCAATGGAGCCGGCTCACCTTCCTTCACAGGCAAAAACAAAATGACAGCGGCTAGACCGCAGTCCGCTCCACACAGAGTGCATAAAACCATTCTTCGAGCCAACCACGTCCAAAAGGACAGTGCAATCCTCCTATCCAGCAACGACCAAATGGATCCTGGAGACAGTATGGACGGGGTAGTGGATAATAGACAATTACGCACCTTGTGAACATGCACATCAAGCGCAAACACACTGGGGATATCAAACAACAGCCAATCGCTTGAGAGAAAGATAACAACTAAAATAAATCGAGAATGCATAGGGAAACGGTGACATAAATCCTGAAATAATGAGCATATGAACTAAGTTGCCTACCAACGAATCCGAGATAAGTTCATGAGGTCAGAAAGTATACTTTACGGGAATGCCACAAACACGAAAATGTTATCGAAATTAACTACAATTGGCCCAAGCGACATGTGCAAGTTTATAGAAGGGAGCGCAGGTAGACATTTAGATCAGAAAGAAAAGCGTTAGGACAACATTGAAAACCCATCACCTGAAATAAATGGACTTAGCATGTAAGCGCGCGGTTAGTATATCGAATGCAGCGTACCTACAAACACTGCGCCGGTTCTGCCTACGTTCTCTGCAGGACCCGTCGCCGCTTCGGTAGTGGTCCCGAGTGGCCTCGCTCATGACTCACTAGGCCTGCCTAGCCCAGGCACTCGCGACCGCATGTGCTATAGCACCATGCGCTCGATGTCGAGGGAGTACAACCCATCGGCGCTTGCCGCTTCCGTACTTGCCGCTTCTTCTCTGCTTGTATGAGGTCTTTCTCCCGCACTTCGGCAAGTGCCTTCGTGATCAGATCGCACCATGCACGCCGATCAACCGCCTTCGATCCCCATGACCTGCAATCAAGATTAGAACGTGAGAGGCTCATTTTGATCATGTCCTGGTAACGTAATTTTGGTTTCCCCGCATACCGCTTCCCAATACTCAGCTGACCATACGATAGTTGTTTCGGTATCCGCGTCGAACCCATACGGCTCACATGACCGAGCCACCTAAGGTGTTTCAGTAAAAGTATGCAGTCCACAGCATACATCCCACTTTGTCGCAACACTTCCGTGTCAGCAAATCTGTCACCCCAACCGATGCGTAAAATCCGTCGCAAACACTGTTGATGGAACCGCTCGAGATAGCGCACATCCATCCGGTACATCGTCCACGTTTCACTGCCGTATAGAAGAACGGACAGCACCATGGATTTGTACACCATCAGCTTCGTGCCAATGGTAAGCTGATGGTTGTTCCACACTCGGTACTCAAGCTTCCCGAATGCTGCCGCCCCCTTCGAGACACGGATACGCAGCTCACTGTGTAGCCGCTGATCAGTCGACATCACAATTACAAAGTAACAGAAGCGGGAGGTGGTTTCCAATACTTCAGCACCAATGCTGATTCGCGGCAATATCGAAGATTGCACTTCCGGTGAAGGCTGAAAGAGACAGGCAGTTTTGCTTGTGTTGATGATGAGGCCGAATTTGGTCGCTATCGAAGCCAGAACACTACTCGTGTGCTGCAGCTCCGCGCTGTGTGCAAACAACTCACAGCCGTCAGGAAACAGCAACATATGGATAGTTGTCCCACAGATTATAGCATTTCCCTCAAAGTTGCACAGAAGTTCCATACTTTTGCAAAGGATGCACAAAATTTGGCAAAGAAATTTTAAAGGTTTGCAAAGGAGGTCCAAAATGTTGCGAAACCCTACGCGATTCGCCAGCCAGAGGCAATCCTCTGACCTTAATTGTGTTCTCATTGGCCGGATGCCAAGGTTCGGTGCGTTAGTCCGGGGAGGTGAGCGTGCTGCCCGTTGACTGGGTGAGACTTGTAAATGAACCTTAGAGGCATGCACTTCGGCGGTGCAACTGGCTTGTATGTGCCTCCCTCACGTCCGAAACGGTGGATCACAATTGGTCTGAGAGCAATGAACAGCTGGAACGTAAGCGCACGACTGAAACCATGTCTTGATACTAACGTCGTGGGCATGCTTTCTCCCGTTCGACAGATTATCTCATCAGACTTTCGTGACCGCGTTTCGGGCGCCTTCGTCAACCTTGATGACTGGCAGCTGGTGGCAACTGTGAACAACGTCAAATATTAAACAGCCTACTCCTGGATTCGTCGTTCGCTTTATCAGGAGCCCATTATTACGCAGACGCGCAGTCGTCAGCAGATTCTGTCGGAGGATGACGTGGATGACATCCTGGATTGGATCGCAAGGGACTCAACCCTTACGCTAAGGGAAATGAGAGTACGAGTACGAGCATAAATGGACAAGGACATTTCGAAGTCAGCAATCGCATGGCGTCTGGATGGTCGAATGATAAATATGAAGAACATCTATCAGGTTCCCGAGGGAATGAACACTGCGCGAACCAAAGGGATACGCAGGGAATTCGTTCAGTAGTTTCTCCAACTTGAGAGCGATGGCAAGTTCTTCATTTGGATTGACGAAGCAAACTTCAACGTTTACTGCAAACGTACTCGTGGTTGGACGCCCAGAGGAGTGAGGGCTTTTTGCAAAGTTGCCAACAATAGAGGCCTCAATTGGCGTTTGATCGGTGCACTCACAATGGAAGGTAAAGTGTCGATGATCACCCGGAGAGGATCATTCACAGGTTCCCCTATCCCTCGTATGGCTGCGAATCTATTTAGACAACCTGAAACGGGAGATGGGGTTATAGCAGGTTGTCGTGCCATGTGATAATGCACCATGTCACACAGGACTGGAAGAACTGTCGTCAGTAGATGAATACAAGGGAGTAACCGTACTGAGATTGCGCCAATGTTTTACGTTCCTCAATCCGATCGAAAATGTTTGGCAGGTGGTGAAGGCTAGGTTGAAGAATGAGATGAGAGTGCACTAAGAGGAACTTATGGCCGGGGATCCCCAGAAACTCATGACGCAGATGGAATGGAGGCTGCTGCTCCTTAAACGCATTGTCGGAGCAGCCACCAAGGATATCATTGTTG